GCTGTTTGCCCAGAGCTATGGGCTCATAGGCTGACCCTGGGGTGGAGGGTGGGAGGTGGGACTTACCAAGAAGGATTTGCCTCTGCTGCCAAATCCTTGTACCCTGAAATTGTCATAATCACTTTGACAACAGCTCCAAGTCACCCTTCCTCCACCCACCCCAAACCCCAGGGTCGCCTCTGGGCTGCTAGAGGCCAGCCCCTGGCCATGCCACACGGTTTGGTAGGTGGGACAGGCAGCGGTGCCACCCTGCAGCCCTGGGTCTGCATTCTGTCTTTGCCCTTCTCTAGCCCGTGCTGGCGTAGGCCCGTGCTCAGCCCAGCATAACCTCAGTCCCCTCACTCTGCTGAAAATGAGCCGGGGTCCAGAGGATCGAGTAGGCTGATATACCTGGGATGGGGGTAGGGTAGGGGGCTTCAAAAACTTCACGGAAAAATAGAGTGAAAGGATAATGGAAGTTTTCCATGAACTGTTTGCAACCTCCTGGTTCGTAAGAAGACCTGGTTGGGCACCCAGGGACACAATGAGCACAGAAGAAACCGGAGTTATTCTTCAGCTAGTCAATTCCTAATCATACCCACACCCACCCTCCGTACCCCCTCTAGGCCCCTGCGCCCTGGGTATGGAAACCATCCCACGGCCCTGCCTCAGGGCCTGACCAGTGAGAGGGAGAAAGCATAAGCATCCTGGCCACCTCAATGGGAGCTGACCCATGGCGGCTTTGGCAAAGTCTCAGGGCTAAAGTGTGTGTGGAGGGGGCGGTGGCGGGAGACAGAGGGGTCTGTGGCTCTTTACGTCCTGACTGGGAGGACAGAGGGTGTTTGGACACTGGCTGGTGACTAAGAAAGGTGAGACTTATCCCGACCTTTGGCAAGAAGGTCCCTAGTTCCCACTGGGTTGCAAGCCTATTTCTTGCCACTCCGTGCCCCCTGTTTCTTCGTAAGTTGGTTTTAAAAGACTCAGATGGCGAGGTAGCAGGGTGCTGGGTCAGGCTTGGGGAATGTCGTGGCTGCGTCTCATTTACCTTCTGGTGGAGAGAGTTGGAGGGGCCTTGATGGCCCTTTGATGGCGCGCGTGCGCTCCACATGCTCTTCTGCTAAGGGAGAGGCTGGGGATTCGACCCCTCAGCTGCCCTGCAGGAGAAAGATGTGGCAGTCTGCTGTTCTTGAGTCCCGGCTTTGAAACCCCAGGGACAGCCCTCCTCTGTCCTGCAGGCTGGCTTACTCGATGGCAAGGCTTCATCCCAAGTCTGTGATTTGAATCCTAAAATGTGAGTTGCAGCTGGCCATTTGTCAGTCACCAGAAAGGGTATCTATATCAATACCCTTCATAGAGGTGCCTTCGTACAACATCCCCCGCCCCCCCAAGCTATTCTTGACTACCTTCCAGGATGGGGATCTCACTAGCTCCAGGGAGACTCTAACCCTGGACAAGGCGCTGACATCTACTGATCAATAACAATACTGCCTCCGCCCACTAGCCCTAATGCTTTGCCTTGGGGCAGGAGAGGCTGAATTGGATCCCTCCCCGCGGCTGCAGCTCCAGCCACTGTATTGAGTGACCGCTGTGGCGCATGGTTGCCCTCTTTCCAGCATTAGAACTACCTTGGCTTCTGCCTGTTGGCCCACAGCTGAATGTCCAACAGTCCTCCTGCCATCCTAGACCTGGTCCTGTCCCCGAACTGAGCGCAGGACAGATCGAGCCAGCCAGAAATGATACATGGGATGGGGTGCCAGGCAGGACTTCGTAAGTTTGCTGGTCCTGTCACCTTTGAACATTACAGTAGGAAGTAGTGGGGCTGGCCAAGAGGCATCACAGGGAGTGGGAGCGAGGCTGGGTGGCCAGGGACACAGGTCCTGGGTGGTGGGGTACCGATGAAGTGGCCAGGACAAGGGAGGGAAGCAGAGGAGCCCTCCCAGAGTGGAGGGTCACTTTAAGAAGCCAGAGTGTGACTAAGGCTGAGGAAGGGCAGTGGACACGGGACACACTGGCTTCTGTCTGCTGGCCCATAGGGGGTGCTCTTGGTCTGCCCTGCGGAGGAGGCAAACTTGCCTCCGTTCTTTGTCAGCTGTCTGCAGGGAATGCACCCGGCTGAGAAGGAGAAGCAGCTGAGGCTGGAGAGCAGGGACTTTGCCAGGCTGCAAGGGAACATTCCTCCCACGGAATCCCAAGTAGCTGAGCTTGGTGCCCAGTGTCCACTTCCCACCCCCTTCACCCCGCACCTCCTGGACTCTCAAGGTCATTATTGCCAGAGGAAAAGAAAACAACACCTTAAAAGGATGCCCACTCCCACATACCCACCTCCTCTGGTGCCACCACCTCCACCACCACCCCCCAACCCACCCCCACCCCCCGCAAGACCTGTCTCCCGGTTCTAGCCAGAGGGTCTCCTCCGTCACTGCAGGGAGTGAGAGTGGGGGCAGCCCTCCTTCCCCCACACCCACCCAGGAAGTCGAAGATGAAATGCCCAGAGATGACTTTCAGCTGGGCTTCCTCTGGGGCAGCCAGTCAGTGACAGGTGACTACCGAGGCTTGTCCTGAGAGGGGGCTGGTGGCCCTGGGCATCAGGCAGCCAGGAACAACTAGAACCTGGTAGGATTCAGGACAAGACGTCTGTGGGGGACAATGCTACCTGGCTCATCTGCACAGCATTCTCACAGAGCCCTTCCAGCCAGGACCAATGGAACAGGCATGGAGACGTAGCAAGGGGCTTCTCCTACTGTCTTGTGTTCAGCTGCCCAGCCCACATCCCACCAAGCACGGCCCCAGGAAATAGACAGACCCCTCCTCTCTGAGGTTGCCTTGGTGTATGTCTCCCCAGAGAGATAGGAAGGAGATGAGATGTGTGGCCCATCTACAAACCAACATGAGCGGATCACTTGTCTGAAGTGTGGGGATGCAGAGCTAACAGAGATGAGTCCTCTTGCCCGTAGACATCATGCCAGCCCAAGCCTTGACCTGGGGAGGGGAGTCTTGGGTTCTCACAAAAGCTTCATGGTAGCCGACTCTGATGTTCCCTCTTTGAACCTCAGCTGAACCTGAGCCCGCTCTGAACCTGAGCCCTTACAGAAGTGTATGCTCCTCTTCCAGACCAACTTGCCAAGGCAAGAACCTCTGTGCCCCGTACGCAGCATGCCGCCTCAATAAGTCCCTTCTCCATTCTGGAATATGCGCCCCCTCTCCCCTCTGCCTGTCTGCTCACCCATCCATCCCGTTTGTCTCTCAAGAACCCCTTAGGCACTCTGAAAAACCCAGCCTACAGACAGATTCCTGTAGGAAGGAAGCCGGCAGTGGGCCGGTCCCTATAGCAACCAACATGAGCAGGCCATGCTGTTGGGGTGTAGGAGTGGGACTTGGAGGTTTGGGAGCTGGAGAATATGCATCTTCTGACTGGGCCTGAGCCTTCTGAGGGGCTCCAGAGGGAAGTCCAGGAGCAGTGGGGGTTGGGGCTCTTATAGAGAGACGGACACAGGCCATTTCTGAGGACCAGGTGAGAACAAACCCTTCCCCACAATGCAACTCACTCGTCAAAACGACCCCCTCGCCCCACACAGACAGGGCCAAAGAGCATCTCTGTGAAAGAGGTGCTCAAGTCAAGTCCAACCCTCACTGACGCCAGAACCACCTGCCCTCCCTAAAGTGTTCCGGGGGGAAAACCCGAGGTGAAGATGATGCCGATGGACTGTCTCCACTCAGGAAGGGACCACGCAGGCTCCCCAGGATTTCTGCTGCTCAGCCCATGGCCCTCAAGTCCTGATCTATCTGCTCACCTCTCTGAAAGCCTATCCTGAGAAGACCCCAGGAGTGACAGGGGCAAGCATCCTCTTAAACCAGGGCCCTTTGTTGAGCTACAGGTGCCAGTGAGCTCTGTTGGGTGCTGCCCTCTCCTTTCTGGCATCTCCGTCAGGTAGCAGGTCTAATCCCTGCAGGCACTGGAATGCCAGCACCCTCCTGGGATGTTCTGGTCACTACTGGAATGTACTGGCCGGAGTGGGTCATCAGGGAGCAGTGAGAGGCAGCCAGTTAGCATTTCCCTGCCC